CTGTTGTGCCACAGCCACATCAACGGAGGAAGTGCATCTGCACGCGTCAGCTAACACCCCTATCTTCATCCTCCCAGGTCGTGTCAGTAGTGACTCACAGCTAAACCAGCTTCCAAACAACGCGCCCATCAGGCCCAGAAGAAGGGTGAAGTTTGGCACTGCTTCTGCCAAGATCCAACTTATCAGCCACGCGCCTGTGCAAATAGCACCCCAGCTTCCCAAACTGAGCCAACTGTTGGCGTGAGCTACACTCGTGCCCTTCCATACACGAAAGTAGATATACTTGGTTGCCACAGACCCATTCACAACGCCTGCGACGATGATTGTAGGTAGCGCAATACCGAAGCATACCTTACTGACCAGTGGGGATGCGGAACCAAGGGCGGGTGAGGCAACCGAAGGTCCAGCGTGATAGTATATAATGACGGAAATGAGCATGTAGAAGGTAACTGCGATATCTTGTTCAAGAATGAGGGCTTTGCGGAAGTCGCGAGGATCCTCGAGTTCAGACTGGAACGAAAAGAAAGCGACGTGGCCGGCTATGCGAAATCAGTATGAGTTGCTGCAAGGACAGACACAGGAGAGAGCATACTGAAGGCCAAGACGATGTTCATGACCGGCGCTAGACCCTTCACCAATGTTACGTCGGGTCGTACGGCGACGATGTTGCCCGTGTCCGGTTTCTGGATACTGATGGCGATCATAGTTGTCGTAACTGCTATGATTATAGAACTACAAGCTGAGGTCATTAGCTAACGGGGCCACGTCCAGTGACCGAAATCCCAACTCACAGAAGTAGCTAAAGTAACTAATGTTCTTGAATGTTCTTGGTAATCCAAATAGAAAAGAGATGATCAAGCCGATAACATTGAAGATGATCGTGCAAGCGCCATGGTCTGTCATTGCGTTCAACGCGACGCCGAATGTCAAGATATGCGCGCCCATGATAAAGATCAAGACTAGTTCCTGCCCAATGGCAAGCACCTCGCGACCTATGGGGCCTCCAATCAACATACCGCAGTCAGCGTAACAGGTTACGGATGGATGAGCCAGCTTGAATTCACCAATCAAATAGCCTGTGTATGTAGCAATGATGCCCAGGAAGCATATGCAAAGGAGGCCAGGGACGAGACCGAGGATTGCGAGAGCTTGTGGAAGGGCAAGGACGCCTAAGGAAACGTTCTCTGCAAGCATCACTAGACTACGTCAGTGAGATACATGAATCGAGAAATGAGAGGCTTACGAGCACCAATATCCCTAGAAGTGTGAAGTCAGCTGTAGCTCACAGATAGAGTTGTCACATACACCAAGCAAAGGCATGTCTTATGTGGGAAAGCAGCAACAACTTGGCAGCTTCCGTTCCAAAGCACTATAAACAGCAGGAGCGCAAGGCTTGAACACTTACCACCATTTACAAGTCTTATACTGTATCTCAGCGCTTTCCTCGTTACCAAAGGTGTTATCTTCTACTGCTGGTGCAACTTGGCCTCCAAGATCTGCTGATGATGTCAATTGAGGCCGAATGGCATGCTCTTTTGGCATCGTGCTCTTGTTGGTGTGCTTGGCCATGGCTTCGTTTTGCAGAGCCTATCTCCGTAGATGCGTAGATGTTATGGTTAGGAAGCTTGTCTAGCTCGTTGTTCCGTGTGTACTGAGATCTGTGACCGGTCCCTCGTAAGACGCAATTATGGCGGCTAGTTGAAGACTGCTATGCGAAATAGATATTGGAGATCGATAGGAACCGCTCATTTGTGCTAGCTAGCCGTACCACGGCATGATTCTACGTTTGACCGCTGTAGATGTAGGCGTGTTTGCAAGCTCCTTCGGGTCGGGAGACGCGGAGAAAGTCTGTTTGATTCCAAGATTGGAACGAAGCGGACCACATTCGTGTCCAAATTGCAAAGCACGTTATCAAGTATGATAGGATCCTCCATTCTACCGCGAATCTCCATAAGATAGAAGACTCAAAAGGCGTATCTGAATCAAGCAGATGCTGCCACATACTTGGTTCATGACTATACGAGGGATATGGTGAGATCCTGCCACTGATTGTATAGGCTTGACATCGGGTAGCAAGGGGATGACACCCAAGCTTGGGGCACGATTCGCCGCCGTCCAAAGAACCATTTGCGAATGCAGGTTATCTTAGAAGCCGTGGGGAAAGAGAGATGGTGATATAATGGAGATACAACAATGGAACCTTGTCGGTCTACGATCCGGGGCTACATGCGAGGCATCATGCATAGGATGTATCATGCCGGTAAGCATCTGAATCTTATGGTACCATAGAATCATCACCAGGGATGTAGGTGTAATGGTAGAGGATGAGGTGGGGGAGAAGCCTCCCTGATTGAATGACCATGGAGGAGTAAAATACGTCATCACGTGCGTTCGCGGGCAAAGCGCGAATTGCCACTTTCCCCATCGCTCCCCGCAACCCATTGTCCCCACAATTGCATCCGACTGTCACACCTGTGTCATCTCACTCGCCTTGCGACACTATCTTCGCTCCTCGCACGCCATGGACTCCGACCTGGGCCTCCCGCCGACACGGGCGAGACGCAAGCGCAAGAGTACCGCATATGCCGACCATGACGGCGACGACAATGACGATGCGTCCTTCAATTACCAGTCTACGCCGCGAAAAGCCAAAAAGATTGAAAGCGCTCCTGAAGTGATCGACCTTACCGGGGATTCTCCAAAGAAGATTCTCCCCAGCAAGAGAGGCAAGCGCGATGCTGATGCGCCTACCGAAGAGAAGCGTGCGAGGGTCTTTCGCAAGAAGGCGCCCCAAAGCTATATTGTTATAAAGGAAAGAGCTCTAACCCAGCGTCTGACAGTCCTTTTGCGCGACCGCTGCGGAAGCGATGATGTGCCTGAGGAGAAGGTTATTGTGGCAGGGTCAACGGGAAATGTCTACACGGTCTCGATCGGTCTCGTCCCAAGCTGTGACTGTCCACACGCGAAGAAGGGCAATCAATGCAAGCACATTATCTACGTCATGCTACGTGTGTTGAAAGCACGGGAGGAGGTGGCATACCAACTGGCCCTCATCAGCGCTGAGCTGCGCGAAGTCATCAAAAACGCGCCACCCATTCCGGGTGTGGAGACCGACGGCAAGAACGGCACCGAACAAGAAGGCCAGGTCGGGAATCGCAAGCCTATCGAGGGCGAATGCCCCATTTGTTACGATGAGCTCGGCAAGAACGAAGCCATTGTATACTGCAAGTCCAGCTGTGGAAACAACGTGCACAAGGCTTGCATGCAGAATTGGATTGCCGTATCAAAGGGCAAAGCGACCTGTCCATACTGTCGCGCCAAATGGGAGGCCGATGTAGGCTTCCAAGGCAAGCTGGGTGATGTCGATACCATGAATTTGGAGAGGAACGAGGACGGCTATGTCAACGTCGCAGGCCAACTCGGCCTCAGTGGCGAACGAGACTACTCAACCTATAACCAATACTGGGTGCGGCAACACCTGGGTCAAAGTAGGACAAGGGGCGGCTACGATTTCGAGGATGACTACTAGTCTGAGAGACTTTGCGGCACAAGGACGCAATCATCGAGCAGACAAGTGCATTTGGCGTTTAGGATACTGATACCCGGCAGTAGCAGGCACAAGGTTCAGCTCAACACTGACTCCACAACGTGCATTATACACCACATGTTTTGTGTATTCTGGTCGATACATTCTCTCGCTTTCCTTGCTTTTCTCGCTGATGCCCATGTCCCGGCTTCGGCTTCGACCAGCCCATCTTGGAAATTACCAACCTTCAAGAATAGCACAAATAGTGATCGGCCACCACTGACGCGGCGAAACTCCCCCCAACAAACCCCACCCCTTCGGCCATCGCATAAGCAACAAACCCATCATGCTGACCTGAACACGTACCTGCATCCGCTCGCCTCGTAAATCGAGTCGCTGCAGCTCCACATCTCTCCCAACTACGTCAACAGAATCACGACATACGGACGTCTTCGGCAAGACTAATCCGCCCATCTGGTCAGTAGTTATTTGCGGTCCGTCCGAAGTCGAATACGAGATGAATGACGCGTCCACGGATACCACTATTCTCACGATGAGGCATCCCAGACAGCAAGTATTGATATCAGGAATGCACTATAGATCTACAAGACTGGAATGTGCTCGAGCCACCAAAGATCAACAACAATAACGCACGTCCTTTATCCAACGGATCTTGGACATCGGTGGAAAAGGTTTGCTGGAATGTCAAAGCAAGTTGGCTTTGCTCTAGTAATTTAACCTGCGCAGCGGTAAGTTCAAGCGATTCTAAGAGGTGGCGGAGTTAGAAGTACGGCGCTGGCTCTCCTGCGTGGTTGGGCGACCCGGAGACAAGGTATCGGTTGGCTGCAGGTTAGTTGATTAAACGTTGTACTTGTGCTACTGCAACCATGGCGCGACAAGGTGCAAGCTTTGGTACGATCATGTACAAGGATAGCGTTTGGGTGATATGCAGGTACGGTCACAGAGCTTGAAGATTAAGTTTGTATCGCGGTGAATCCCCAGGCTAACGGAGAGTCGAGCTTTGTCTTGGGTGGGAGACTAGTTGTCGAAAGTGGCCAAGAAAATATCACGAAGACAAGGCAAGGCATGAGTAAGTCGCAGAAATTGAATTTGAAGAAAACTAGTTAACGCCTGGTCATTTGATAACCACAACAAAGGAAAGGTCTATGAAAAAGTCGAGTATCATCAAACATTGCACCGTCCGGATCCAGATACCAGTCCAACAAGCATAGCGTTCTCGAAGAGTGGTTTTGAGAGTAGACAGTCAATATATTGTCCAATGTACATATCAACTGCCTAATCCAAAATTTTACGTGAACAATCCATCACAAAGGAAACCACCCAACGCTCTGCCCCTGCCTGAGGGAACTTGGTACAGTAGACAGACAAGACATGCGAGAATGCGGATCAAGCGATCCTACCAAATATTCACAAACAAACGCGAAGGTCATCTACAAGAAATGCACTTCAGCGCTTAGTAGGTGCCGTAGCCGGAACCGTAACCGCTGCCAGAGCCGTAGCTGTTGTCAGGGGTAGGGGTGGCGACAGGAGGAGTGTAAGCCTCGGTGGAGGAAGAGACGGCAGCCTCAGGGGTCTTGGAGGAGGCAGGAGCGGAGGAGGCACCGCCGTAGCCACCACCAACGGGGTAGGCAGCGCTGGACTCAGCACCGGCAGGGACGGTGGAAGAGGGGATAGCAGTCTCGCCGGTAGGGGTGGCTACCTCAGAGACGAAAGAGAAGCTGGGGAGGACAGAGGTGGCGCTGCTGGGAACGGGAACGGCACCTGTGCCAGTGGGGTAAGCAGGCTTGGTGGAGGTCTTGAAGCCAGTTGGGCCAGCAGGGTAGGGGTTGGTGCCGTTACCGGGGACGGGGTACATGCCAGTGGGAACAGAGGGCATGCCGGAGGAAGCAGTCTGCTCAGAGGGAACCTCAGGAGTGGGAGCGGGGGTCTCGGGGGTAGCAGCAGGGTAGTCACCACCCTTGGTAACAGTGACAGTCTCCTTGGCAGTTACGGTGACAGTGACGGGAGCAGCGCAGTCCTCACCACCCTCGCTTCCAGCAGGGACGGAAGGAGTGGCGTTACCACCAGCAGGGCCGGTAGGGTAGGCGTTCTCACCACCAGCAGGGCCAGTGGGGTAAGCACCGTTGCCACCAGCGGGTCCAGAGGGGTTGGACTCGGAGTCGGCGGGAACGTCGCCCTCACCAGTGGGAGTGGGCTTGACGGTGACGTACTTGGTCGAGGTGGAGGTAGACTTGATGGTGGAAGTGACATCCTCACCACCCTCGGGGTAGGCAGACTCGCCACCAGCAGGGCCAGTGGGGTAGGAGTTCTCGCCGCCAGCGGGGCCAGTGGCCTCAGAGGGAACCTCACCAGTAGGAGTGGGCTTGCCGACAGTGATGACGACAGTGGAGTACTGGGTGGAGGTGGAGGTGGAGGTAACCTCAGTGGTGACTGGGTGAGCAGTCGAGCCAACACCGACAGTGTAGACGAGGGTCTCGGTGTAGGTCTGGACGACCTCAGAGACGGGGTAGGAGCTGGTCACACCGGCGGTGGGGGTGGCCTGGGGAAGCTCACCCTCGGGGCAGACGGTGGTGCCGACGGCAACAACGCTGGTGACGAGCGCGGTGGAGTGAGCCGGGCAGTCAGTGACGGTAGGGGGGCAGGCAGTCTTGGTGAAGATCTGAGTGCTGTAGATGGTGGAGGTCACCATGTCGCTGACAGGGGTGGAAGAGACACCAGCGGGGCGGGATCCAGTGCCAGTGGGGTAGAGAGGGTAGCCAGTCCCGGCCATGCTGCTGGTGGCAGCCTCAGGGACGACTGAGGAGGGAACACCACCGTAGCCGCCACCGACGGGGTAAGAGCCGGAGGGGATAGCGGAGCTCATGCTAACACCTGGAACGGAGCTGGAGCTGGCGCCAGAGGGGACAACAGAGGACATGCTGACACCGGGGACAGAGCTGGAGACACCACCGGAGGGGACAACGGCGGAGTAGCCAGTTCCGTAGGCGGAGCTGGCAGCAGCGGTGGAGCTGATGGTGGGGATGACAGCAGAGCTGGAGGTAGCAGCCTCAGGGACGGCAGAAGAGGGGACACCTCCGTAGCCGCCGCCAACTGGGTAACCAGAGCTGGCAGCAGAGCTGGTAGCAGCCTCAGGGACGGGAGAGCTGGAGCTGGCACCACCGGCAGGGGGGACAGCTCCGTAGCCACCGGCAGAGGTGGAAGGAGTGTAGGTGGCATCAGCAGGGGTGCTGGAAGTCTCGAAAGCTGGGGAAGAGGTCTGGACGTAGGGGACCGAGGAGACAACGGGGGTTGCGGAGGTGGAGGCCTCGGGGGTCTCTACGGGAGTAGCAGAGCTAACGACCGGGACGGCAGAGCTGACGATGGGAGTAGCAGAGCTGACAACGGGCACGGCAGAGCTGGATCCAGCAGGGGGCTGGGCGCCGTATCCGCCGTTGTTGGAGCCGTAGCTGTTGCCACCACCGTAGCTGTTGGAGCCGTAGCTGTTTCCTCCACCGTAGGAGTCGGTGGCACCGTATTGGCGACGGGCCTGGCGGTGGCTGCGAGCCTCAGCGGCATCGGCGGCAGCGAGAGCGGCCAAGAAGGCAACGGTAAGCTTCATCATGATGAAAGTTCAAAAAATCCTAGCTCTTAAAACTGAATGGGTATTGACGAGGGAATTCAAAGGTCCAGGCGAAACGTTGATGATCCAGGAAAGAGTGACTGGATGTTCAAAGAATGTGATGTCCGAAGACAGTGTATAGCGAGTGTGGTAAGGAAAAGTTGCCTTGGGTGAGGAGAAAAAAACACAGCGAGGGAGGGCGGTATATGAAGGCTCTGGCTGACAGTTGCAGGAAGCGGTCTAAGCACCTGGGTGGCTGCTAACGGCAGCACAGATGCGCCCAAGATGGTCGGCCCCTGGCGGGTGTTAATTTCGTTCAGGAACAACCGGCGGCAGGGGCCAGTCAGCGGCGTCGCTAGCCAGGAACAACTTCAGGGGAATGCATGAAGCTAGCCAGTCAGGAGGGCCAACGAGCAACCTCGATGCATGGCAGCCGCTGGGGAACACGCCGGTCGCGAGCTGTCGTCTTTGAGAGGTGAGCCTTGATTTTGCCGTCGTTTTCGCAGCCGACGAAGCCGCTGAAAGAGGTCACGATGGTTTACCTGCTCGCCCCCCCGTCGCGCTGGCCATGTGCGCTGGGATGGCCCTCGCATAGCCTTGTGAATCCATCTCTCTGCTTGCCGGCCGTCGCCATAGATTGCGTTTCATGGCGCTTGGCCAAAATAGAAAGCGACCATGCCGCAGATCCTCCCTGCTAGAAGCATCGACAGGAGCGGGTACCTGGCAGATGCGCGCTGTCGGTGAGCACACAACCGTGCCGAGATTCAGCGCAGACTACGCTGCTGGGCGAGACAAAATTGGACTTGCGCGAGCATGAGTGAGATTCGGCCCATTCCCCACTGCCAGCACACGGTGCGACAGGAGAGACACTGTGCCACAGACGACATCAGCTCGTGTTGAGGGCGTTCTCGTGTTTGCGGAGACGCTTGTCGATAGGCGTGGATAAGGGAGCGGTGGAGCGTTCCATGGTGTATTGGCCGTCTTTGTCCAAGCGTGGGCCATGGTGCGACGCGCGACTTGGGCCTGCCGCTTCACATCTCTGCACAAAGAGCCCCGATGTGACTTCATCGCCGTGGAGCCTGAATCGTCGACGCGCAATCTAGACTATCGCATTCTGAAGCTTCTAGTCGACATCGCGATCCTTCGTCAAGTCGTATCGACTTCAACGGTCCGCCAAACGTCAAGCCACTGTGCCACACATTCTTTCTTCGGCGGGCCGCGCTCGTCTGTCCTGCTTCGGCGTATAGCAAGGCCACGCCCATGCCATGTGCACTTGAGACATGCCACCGCTGTCAGTGCATTTCCGCATAATACACAGCCACAACCGCGTTCGAATCAGTAATCGCGACTACTTCCTCCGTCTCAGTCTGTCGCAAGTCTTCCATTTGCCTGAATGCCTTCAACACAATGACTTTGGTCCTCACCGCCGGGATTCCAGTACCGTGTCCACAGCATGTACGATGCTGGACTGACGTGGAACTGGCGACCGGCTCGTAAGATTGATGAGCTTTCCCGCCTAGTCCCTGCAAAAGCTTGTGCCCTCGAAACGAGCGACACGAGCATGTTCTCGACTCTCGACGAACGTCGACTGATCTCTCGGAAATGAGGTCCATCGTTCAACTGTTTCCGGTTCGTTTCTCTCGTCTGTGTCGATGTTGCGTGTGGCTGGCCACCCGCCCGCAATGTCACTGTTGAGGCTTGTCTTGTGCCGAGGCGTGGGAAGTAAATGAAGCAATATTGCTGAAGCTGAACATGAAAGTTGTCAAACACAAAGCGGCGCACACAATGCCCAACTGTGAAATGTGCGAGCGCGATCAAGTGCTAAAAGAAAGTCCAGAGAAGGAAACGACAATCGTAGTCTCACGCCTACCAGTTGATATGCCTAGCAGCATCCGCGGAACGGGCTCTCTACTATACGTTGTCCTCGAGGCAAGCACCACTGGCTGCGGCCGCATGTTTTCGCGACTTCTGTATACCATCTCAGAATGAATGCCACACGCTTCTGCCCCGCAGCGCCACATGAAACATGCATTCTCCTCCATTCCTTCCCTCGCCCGTATCCCATCACATCATACCCATCTACTCGGATTACAAACCCGTCGCCCGCATCAACAGCCCATACTAAGCCTTTCCTTCTTATCAAACTTCTTACATGGCCCGTCTTCATCAATCTGCATTGGCGGATCGTGCCGTGATTCGAAACCATCGCTTGCTTGAAACGAAACGTCAGCCCTACCAGGCTATCCCAACGGCTACCTAGGCACATCTGCGATTCCAACTTCACCTGTTCTTTTCGTGCCTCAGGCTGTTCAAGGCATTAAAGTGCCAAGATATAGTGGGTATGAGGGGTGCAGGTATCCACGATGTTACAACTTCTACTGCTTCTAGTAGATGGAGTCTAGGTCTTCCACCGGCTTAATGGCTAATGTGCGGGGTCGATGACGAGGTCAACATCCCAAGGTGCGTTTCGAGGTAAATTCTACATTGCAATCTTGAAGTCATGGTACGAGCCGATTGTTTTGTTAAGATTGCTTCATGAAGTCAACTTATTTCACGGAGCACTGACAGTGAGTCACGCAGTTGCTGAGCTTATGACGTTGAACACGAGGTGCTAGATTGGGTAGTCCACAGATACGTCCTACTTGATTCCGCTTCGCAAAGCCTGCCGTTTTTTCGTACTGTCTTTTCCACTGCAAGGCACTATCACCAATGTGTCGAGAGTCGTCTCGACCAGTATCACGCAAACGTACGGCCCAGAGTCCATACACAAGATATCTTCCTCCAGTGACATACAGGTCTAAGAGTGTACAGTAGACTCTTGTCCCTAATGCTGCCCGTTTCCATTCAGACACTTGCGCCGACCTGCCTTTGCCCGCGTATGCGCGCCATCCTTGCCCGGGTTCTTTTTTGCTCAAGGAAAAGAAAATATAAGCCACCGTGATCGATAACATAACATGAGAGAAGAATATCTAGCACCGAGGTTTCAGTATCACGTTCAGCTACGAAATTACTGACTCTGTTGTTGCTTTAGTGGACTACTGCTACTGTGCATTTGGTGCTTGTGATCAAAGAGTAAGACTTTTGTCCATCGTTTTCTACAGTCGCACCACGGAATGCCTCACTGCCATCATTTTCCTCAATGCCGCTACATCATAGCACACCGGTCAGGATAACGCAATTTCAAACAAATCGCACAAAGTTGCGTTTTAGATCTACTGTCACACATCCGTGCGAACTTTACCATGGTTAGGTGCTGCGCAGTAGTTGTGTGTATCTGAGTACTTTATCGCGAAATGATGATGATAATGATGTCTGGTTCAACACTAGAGACAGTTGCGTCAAAGGAAAGTTACAATCCAAAGAAAGGCAAGTGTGGAGACTGTATCTATCGTAGTTCGGGGTAACAATTGACTAGTAAGATGCCCATCTGGCCTTCAGACGGGGGGCTCACGCTTAGCGCTTTCAAGTGAGCTGAACGCCGCAATCCGTGTTGGAAGGAGGGCTAATGCGAGCACGTTTATGGGTGAATGATCCATCATTATTGTCAATTCATCATGTGTCTGTTCCGTAACCCCTGACTATATCTACGTATATAGGACCATTAGCAAAACGTACTGTGCGTCCGCGATTGGAGTTGTCAGTAGAAAGACAGTACTTGCAATTGAAACCGTTCCATACATTAACAGGTGAGCTGGGGATGACAACGCTACTGCATGAGTTGTCACTGTAGATCCACATTACTGCTGATTGTCAACACGTTCGTCGAGGAGAATCTATCGAGGCTGTTAATTTGCAGATGTTATTGGCATTGTTGCCCAAGGCGATCATGGCTGTGACTTGCGAGGCGAGAGGCCCGAAGGCTACGACAATGGTAGAGATGGATTGTATGTTTGTAATTGAGAGGTGGAGAGCTTGGTTTGCGTCGAAGATGAGATTGCTTGAAGTGATGAGACTGATTTGAGTTTGCGACCGGGCACGTTTTGATACGGCTTTCCGTCATCGGGTTGCACATGCTGGTACCGTACAGCGTACTTGAATCTTAACAAGGCCGCTTCATGTTGCTTATGTAGACAAGAGAGTAAAACCTTCCTGCAGTCGAAGAATTTGGGTTATGAAACAAAGCAAGAAGGATTTCGTTGAAAGTACTTGTAGCAGGTAAATGCTTGGACAGTAAGAGGTCAACATCCCTTGAAACTCACACGTACCCCCATGACTGGTAGACGAGGCAGGTGCTAGACGATTGGCGCCAGCAGTTGTGGGCTTTCCGTGGTTGATCAGTGTCATCTACGAAGAAGAAACCTGTTAGTCAGTGGTGTGCTAAAAGAGGACCTCTGGAGCTCTGAACGCCCGTACTACTTGCAGCACTCTCAATCATTTGCACATGATGATGGATGGAGATATAGTATCCATCTTGGGTATGCGATTCGTATCCAGACGACTAGTGCCTAGGTAATAGGCACACTTGTCACGAGCCACAACAAGTAGGTAGGCAAATACGTTACCTAGTTATCCTGTCTCTTGCTTGCCTTTCTACTAGCATGTCGGTGAGTACTTCCAGGGTGATTGGTGGTAAGTGTAATGTGCAGTAAAGAGAGCTTTGTGGCAAGCATTCACTATATCAAAGATAGAATCTAAATATCTCTTTAGAGCATATGTAGGTAGTACTCTTTCCTGATACAATAAAGCGTATTAGGATATTTGTAGACATATAAAGATTAATAGTATTATAGACTTCTACATCTGCTTTCTAAGTTCCTTTGTCAGGGACTACCTCGGTAGTAGGGCTGCTTATTTCTATACCTGTTTGATTTTCCCTCGTATGTGGTGCACTCAAGGTTCCGTTCAGCGTTGCCCCACCACGGACGCACAGATCCGACATCACCGCAGGGCCGCCTGATATTCGAAAACAGCGTTCAGACTCCAAAACCACAACTTCTTCCTCAAGCGACTGGGCTACGCCAGAAGTCTTAATGAAAAAGGTAGGTTCGCGTCAGCTCCCGATA